TTTTTTTACAATGACTAGTAACATTTGAGAGCATTAAATGAAGCCCTGTCCTCTTTGACAGATTCAATCACAAGCAAATTCAGTTTTATTTCTTCTTTGATTATTTTTTCCATTGTTAAATTCCCTTCTACACCTCATATATTCTTGCCGTGTATCGAAACTGTTCACAGATTTACACTAGTTTAACACGAACCGATAGCATATTTTAGTACGACACATTGAACAAGAGATACAGCGATCAACTCTATCTAATAACGGACACCTCTATAAGCAGGGCCCGCGCAGGGGGATAGGCTCGAGGGCCCCCCACTTTTTGAAAAAATATATATATTACTAAGAAATACATAATTTTAAATAAGGAATCTTTGATGGAATAAGAATATTCGTCTGGTAGACCTGGTAGACTTCTGCATTTTCAGCAATAATTAAAAAAAACAACCTCTCTTTAAAGGCAGAAATATGCAGTTTTAACCCCAAGACCGATAATTCTACAGCATTTTATTCCGTCTGCGCTTGTCAGTAATCTACCAACCTCCGGCCTGGTTCTTGCAATCACAAAATTCATAACCTCACCTGGCGCAGATCGAAAAGGGGGACTTTGGGTATGTAATTGTGGGCACTGGCGTATATTAATTAAACTGCATCTTTGCCTCACATACCCTTTCATTGTTTTTTGTTTCTATTTCAGTTCTGTCCTAGAAGGTAACTAGGGTATTTTGACGCAATTAATAATACTGTCAATTTGACTGACCGAGCGTAACAGTTGATTTTGTAATTATAAGCGTAATCCATGTATTCATAACAGTGGTAAGAACTACTCTATTCTGGTCTGTCAAAGACAGTCCACCTTGCAGCTATGGCGGGGGTAATGAACGCAAGATGGATAACATTTATATTAATTGTCACTTTGTTAATACTTTCTTGGGGCAGTTCTATTCGGAGTGAAGGTAGGAATAATCATTGTTGTTTTCAGAATACAATTTACAGTGTGTACATTTCTTTTAAATGCAATTGTTGCTTTTCATATAAACATTGATAGTGATTACAATACTGAATAATTTCTGTAAACAATTAAACCATCTGTTACATCTACCAAGAATAACATTACAAATGGTATCATATAAGTGTACAAATAATTGAAAGAAACACTAAGAATTATTTATTATATAGTTAGAAGGTTACTTTGAGCCAAACAAGCAGGAAAAATCACAGAAGTTTCCAAAACATCGTCTCAAATTATACATAATTTTAAAATGTTTTAATTAAATAAATCAAAAAAGAGCATTTATATATTCATGGCTGTAACGGTGATGTTCGTCTGAATGAGCGGCGGCTAAAATATTTAATCCTTACTAGGCCCAGTGTATCGTTCAACATGATCAACTTCTGTCTCAAAGCCTTAGAAGGAAAAAAAGCCGAAAAACAAAACAAAGCAAAAACAAATTAAAACAACGGAAAAATATCCCGTTCGCATGTGATTTAAGGCAAACATCTAAAAATCACTTGTTTAGGCGTATTGAAGAACATAGTAGATGCATCATTTCTGAAAGGTAAACCGCATATGGTATGTGGACTGATATAGGCCTAGATAGGGCCATATCATAGCACATTGTTGTTTTGTCAACTGTAACAACAATTTCTTATAACGGAGGTTAACTTTTAAAATATCACAGCTCTTTTCATTGACAATGTGTTTAACGTCGCATGAGAAAAAGAAACTCTTTTGGATCCCCACCCTTTAGGAGTAAATGAAAAAATAAGATCAGAATATTAAGCAAATTGACACAGACAGTTAAACCTAAGTTATGCCGGAGTGTATGACGTCGGTATCATCCGTTCATTAACTTGATATAGGACACTGCACCATGGAGTGTGACTAACTCTAAAAGAAGACCAAAGCGAGAGCTAACAATAACCAGACGTCTCTATAAATAACAAGTCGGAGTAAAAAGTAAATAAATCCGAAGATATTTAACTTTGAAACAAAAGGATGAATAAATCTGAATCAAAACTCGATCACAGACATGTTCGTTATTATTTTATTTCCTGGCTTCTTATATTGAAACCTTCTTTAAACGACGTTACCATCTGTAATTTAGACTATATTTTCCAAAGACATACAAAAGATT